GACGTCGATATTCAACACCCCATCCTTTAACTAAACTCATTCGAAGAATACACATATTTCTTAGATTATAAACCGATTCATAACCTTCATGTATCGCACTTGCTAATATTTGAGTGAATTCATCACTGTCAAAGATTTGCAGACGAACATCTAATAAATAACAAAAAAAAAAAACGGTTCAGTTTTCAATACTATAATAATAGAAAAAATTACTTGGTGGAATTTTACAAACAGTTGCTGGATGCCATGAAAATCTTTTATTTGCAATTGGACTTTGAACAAAAACAGGATTATCTGATAGACATTCAGCAAATACATTTCCACGTATATGAAATAATTTAACACCACGACCAATATAACGTCGTGCTTTATCTATTTCCATTGTACGTTCAATATTAGTTAAACCACCCAAACAAAAACGTTCAGCATTTGATGGATGTGTATAACCATCAATAATAACTTGAGATTGTGTTGCAAGATATTGTTCACCAACACGATTTGACATTTCATAATAAGATATACGACACCATTCACGAGGTTCTTGAAATAATACTTGTTCATGAGGACAATTTTGTTCATGTGAAAAATTTGTTGTTAATGATGATGTTATTGGCATAATATCAAGATCCATTGACATTGTTGTTTCATCATTATTTATACCACTAGATGGTGAATGAAAAGAATCTACGAAGTGTAGAAAAATAAATAAATAAATAAATAAATCATTGTATGAACATTGGAGGCTTACGAATTTATTGAAAAGTAACTCGTAGTACTATTAGTTCAGACTGTTTTTTTTTTAATGTTGCGATTTTTTTTCTTTTTTTTTTTTGTAGCTGAACATATACAGAAAAGAAATCATTCAACAAAACGTTAAATGATCTGTATATGGTCTTAATTAACAAATCCATAATGAAAAGGATTATCAGCTTAAAACAAAAATCGCTATGATATAGATTCGAACATATGTTCTTCTATTTTCAAGTGATTTTATCATTTGAACTAGAATTTATTTTCTTTTTACCTGGTGAATTAACACTTTCCGGTGATAATGCTGCTGGTGATGGTTGTTGTTGTTGTTGTTGTTGAAATGGTACTTCATAAGTTTTATTTTCTGGAATTTGATTAATTGTTGTTTCTTTCATTAATGATGAATGTAAATCAGGTATATTTTGCATTGCTTCAGGCGGTAAAAGTGGAACATAAACGGAATAAATACCTTAATACAAACACAAAAAAATAAATAGCAATCGAGAGTTTTTTTTTTTAAGAAAATTATCATACTTGGTACACGTTCATAATGATATGGATTAATACAAATATTATCAAGTGTATAATGAAAAGCATTTGGACAATAATCAACAGGTTTAAGTTCATTTTGATTGAATAAGTCAGGCCAACGCCAAAGACGACAATATTCAACAACTGGATTTGATCTTGATGATTGTTCATGTGTACTATCAGATGATCTATAAATATATATATATATATAAAGAGCCATCGGAAAAAATTGTTTTTTTAGAAATTATATACATTTAAAAAGAAATAATAGTCTAAGTATATGATTAATTCATAAACAAGTCTGATTTGTAACATTGGAGAAAAACTCGCATTTAATTATTTGGATATTTGATATAAGCGAATTGTTTAGTATAATTAATTTTTAAAAACTTAGTTTTATTTTTAATTTTTGGTTCAATTTTATCGAACAAAACATAATTGAATATTTGATAAAATAGTTAAAGAGATTCAAAATTTAAATTATTTCTAATTAGTCTCATTGAAGCTTTATTTAAAAAGAAATTCAGTCCTTTACACAATTAATGACACTAAAATATACATAAAATATTGACTAATCTATCCTATCCTAATGGTATTGAATTTGAATATATTAAGATTTAGTTTTGTTTGATACTTGACTTATTAATGAAAAATTTTTCTATTTATTATAAAGGTAAATTTACCGTGGTATAGTTACACATCTTGTTCTTGAATCTTTATGTAAAATAGCTCGTTCAAGTTCTTCAATAGAACTATTTCGTTTTGATTTATTTATTTGTTTTAATAATGATTTAATTTTTTTTGTTGATTGTTTATTTAAATCAGTTGGATTAATATTTGGTGATGATGATGATGGTAATGATACATTATTTTGATTATTTTGTTCTTGTTGTTGATAATGAACACATAATTCAAGTAAACGTTGAACAACAGGTGAAACTGAACGTCTACTTCGTACAGAATTTATAAAAGATACCATTCGATTTGATGTTGATGATGATGATGATGCATTTGACATTATTTATTAATATTTATTATCTACAAAGAAAACTATATGATATTAAATTAATTTTCTAAGGATTTTGTTTTTTGTTTTTTATAATGAAAAAAGATAAAACTTATCCATAAAATCTTTATAGGAATTAGTATTATGCAGAATGTTCTGATTATTTTATAGGAAGAAAAAATTATTTATAATTTTGCTTATCTATCTAGATTAATAAGATGTTTTTATGAATAAATCAAATTTCGATTTGTACTCATTACTTACAAGAGGACATACATAATTTATATGTTGTAATTCTTTTTTTTTTTGATTTTATTTGTCTTGTTCATGATAAATAAAAAAAAAAAGCCTTGAAATATTTGTCACGTCTAACTATTTTTTTGCTCATATTTATGTCAATAAGGATGTCGACATATTTTTGCTCAGACTTTAATTTAATCTTTGACATTGACATAAAAAAAAAGAAGAGAAAAAAAAAGAATAATATGTTTATCTTCAATGATAAGGTTTCTGTTCAATGAAGATATGATAGAAGTATCTAATGTCATTAAAAATAAGAACTCTCCGGATGAAAAAAAAAAAAAGATATTCTAGGAATTAAATAACGCAATATTCGACTTACGAATGAAAAATAAGTATGATCTGTACTTATGATACAGTATGATAAAAAAAAAAATTACGCATTATTTAATAGAAGAAAAAATCGTATTTAGAAAAAAAAAGACAAGTGTTGTTATTGTTGTATTTTTCTGTTTGTCATCTGTCTACATATTCTTCAGTTCTTTTTAGGGTAATATTATATTTATACAACTATTTTCACAGTTAAAAATAATGAGATGATTTTTTTTTTTCTATAATTGTATGTACTTGAGGAATTTTCTATAGAAAAAAAAAAAAAAAAAAAATTATTGAAAATAGAATGTTTACATATTCTATAAAAGTTTTTAATTATTCTATAAAATTAACAAGAGAAAGTTTCCAAATGATATTTTATGTACATGTCAGAGATTCAATTCTTGGAAAAATTTCGATTGATACAGCTCTCATATGAAAATCCTTCTAACTTTTCATTAGGTACAAACTCTATATAATAAACAGAAGCAAATATGAATGAGATAATTGCTAAAGATATTTACAGTATAATATAAAGTGTTCGCAATTAAAACTTTTAAATCAGGAGAAAAAAAAACGTTCAAGATAGTGCAAGATTTAATTTGATTCGCATATGTCTAGTGTTTTTAACTAGAAGTACAAACACCTTCATATTTAGAATACTATTAACGTTTTAATTAAAATAAGTTCTTTTTATTTTCATGCTAGAACAGCTCTCTTAGAAGTTCTATTTGACATGATTTCACGTTTAATATGAAAATTAAAAATATTTATACGTATCGAAAAAAGTGTCAAATTAGTCGGAATCTCTTTGGTTTTTTTTTTTTCTTAGAATAAGATTCCTCGTATAATGTAAAGTATCAATAAAAATGATGTTGATTAATGGAGAACTTTTTTGCGTAAGGTGTAAATAAACTATATCGATAAAATATCATCTTTTGTCAATTTTATGAGTTTTTACATTTAGATCTATGAAATGTTTAAGTAATAAATACAGGAAAACGAAAATTATATGTTATTTCTTATATTTGAGAAAAGACAATAATGTTGCCTATGAAATCTTTAAAAAACATCATTAATCTATGAAGTTGGCATCAAATAAGCATTAAGAATAATTACTTTGACGATGCGCAAGTACTCATGAGCCTTCATTTCATAGATTTTTTTTTTGTTGTTGAAAAGGTCAAGTTAACTTCTTAGAGCCTTTTTGTTCAGTATTAAAAAAAAAGCCCACAGCATTGGCATTTTTTCCGTACTACTAAGTTTAGCAGTCTTAGCTTTCAACAAAAATAAAAATGGTTCTATAACCTGCCATAGTTTTTTCAATTAAATATATAAAACCTATAGAATAAAAGCCCATAGAGAATTTCAAATTATAAAATTAGTTATTTTTACCCTTGTTTAATGAATATTCAATAAAAACATATTGGTATCGAGGTAAAAATTTCATTCTATTTGAATGTTTCTAGTCTAAAATCAATATTGACAAAGAAGTATATTAAAATTTAGTGTTATCCGAACTCGAAAGATTCTTAACGAAAAGTTTTGGTTTGAATCAATAAATATTATCGCACGGGGTTTTCTTCTATATCCATTTTTTTTTACAAAAAACAGATCTGTTTGTTTTTTATGAAGTACAAATGTTGAAACTAAATACTCCTGAATACAAAATGCCAGTGAATTTACGATATTCGAAAGTGAAATAATCGTCATAATGAAATGTAGCATCGAACAACTAATACGAATTCATTTTCTATGATGTCGATTGTTTTACTATATAGTGAAAATTTATTGAACGAAAAAGCTATTATTTTATAGAAAAAAATACAAAAATAATTACTTGTAGTTTTTCTTTTTTTTGGTCTAATCACATAAATTAAATTGTTAATTAATAATATCTAAAAAAAACAAATATCGGATTTTTATTTTATTGTTGTTTCTTTTTCTGTTACTAAACGAATTACGATGTTACAAATTCGTCATAATATAAATAAAAAATAAACAAATTTCTTTCTTTTTTTTTTGGTGTAACAACAAAACAAAAGAAAAATGATAATTGATGATAGAATAATTGTTTTGTTTGTTTGTTTGTAAAATTTGTTTAATAATTGATAACTTGATTTTTCTTCTTTTTTTCTGCACCCAATTCGAAATGTTTCGTTCGTTTAATTGCTAATTGTTTCTTAAATTTACATTCCGTACATTCCATACGTAAGACAATTTTTTTTGTTGTTTTAGCTTTTTTATGAAAGACAGGTTTTTTTTGTCCACCATAACCTTTTTGTTTCATATCATAACGTCGTTTACCTTGAACATGAACACTATCTTTGCCTTTTTTGTATTGTGAAACTTTGTGTAGTGTATGTTTTTTGCAATTTTTACCCTTGCAAAATGTACGACGTGTTTTTGGTACGTTAACCATTGTTAATTTTATCTAGAAATATTCATTTAATAGAATAAATATTCATATATATATATATATATACAAGATTTTTTGATAAAATTAATGAGATAAACAAATATACAATACTAAAAGCAAAAAGATCGAATAAATATTTTTCATTTTAATAGGAGATTATTTTTTTTCTGTCTTATTATTTGCTAGACATACTACCAAGTGCTGGTAATTGTTGAAGAACATTATCTAACCATTGCATCGGACCATTTAAATGAATTTCTACCCAACATGGCGTACTCATTATAGTACGTCGACTAAAAATATTTCATATGAAAATTTGTAAAATTAATGAAATTTATTTTACCGATATTCTTCACCCCAACCTTTAACAAAACTCATACGAATCGCACATATTCGTGTGAGATTATAAACAGCTTCATAACCATATTGCACTGTATCAGATAATATTTGAGCAAATTCTGTATTACTAAAGATCTTTAAATTACAACCTAAACAGAAAAAAAAAATGTTTTTTTTTAAAAATATTATTAGACCTTAAAGCTATTCTTTTCTATAAAAAGATTAAATTTTTTTCGCATAATTTTTGGCTTTAAAAAAAAAGAACATCAATGATGATAAGAAAAACAGTGATTATTCTCTTCAGATCTATTTAAAAAAAAATGTTTTTTTGATCGTGCAAATGAGAATTTTCTATAAGGTCTCTTTAAAATTATTTAATTCCTTTTTTTCTTTGCTTGAGAAAGCATGTCAAGATGCAGAAGTATGACTGAGTCTCTCCTTTATTTAATCAATCTTCGCTGTTATTATACGATAAGTAGCTATTTTTAGAAAGGTTTTTGAGACCTTCAATTTGTCAATACTTTTTTTTCTACATAAAACAGAAAAAAAGGCTTTGTGATGCGTTGCATTTTCAAATAAAAGAAAATATATAGAACAAAATATCAATAGAGAATTTTAAGTTGATGAATATCACTCTCAAATATCATCGTATTTGAATATTCCTGACTTGAAATCAATCTTGATGAGGAAATAGAGTGAGACATGATCTTGAGGAAAAGAAAAAGGATGCATGATATGGAAGTCAATGACAAATATGTCAATTAATATTGTCAGAGACAGGGGGTGTGCACAGAGTACCTGAGCACCCCCCGTTGGTCAAAAAAAACGCCTGGAGGGGAGTACAAGTAAAATATCTTTTTTGAGAAATAAAAATTTATTTGGCTGCTGATGTGCACATCCCATAATGAGTCGGCACCCTTCTTGAAAAATTTCTGGCTACGCCATTGGTTAGAGACATTTTTTTCTATCATAGTATTAATAAATAAATTTTATATATACACACACACAATCAATAATTAATAGTCATCTGAGAGTTTTTTTATAACATGTCATTTATAAATTTTGTTTTCTTGTATTTATCATTATGAATAAAAGTATTTTTAGCTAACCATTGAAAATTGAACTTTAGATTAGAGATATTCATCAAATAAGACTTGAAAATTTTTCCTAGACGTTCATTTGATATATTTGTTTGAAAGAGGAAGTTATGCTTCAGTGGATTGCTTTAATAGTATCTTAACGTTTTAAACATAATAAATTTAGTATCGCAAAAAAAAATCTCAAATAATTAATAAACCAAAATCAATTATTAAGTTCTACTGAAGCGTATGTCCTGTAGCTTTCGTTTGAAGTTTTGAAAACAGATATAGCACTGTCGAGAGAGTTCTATTTGTTTGGTTGAAGTATCTCAGTAAGTACATACGGTGTACAGCAGTATCTTGATCCCTATGTAAAATAGAAAAGTTGTCTTTATAAATTGAAATTCAAACTTTTGTAGAGTTGAATATTTAATATATCAAGAAGAGCACATTCCTTTAGACTGAAACTCTACGGTTTGATTTTATCACAATTACCTTTTCAGAGATCAAAAAAAAAATTAATGAAGCTGTACTAACTTCGGAAGGACAGCTCTCGTCGGGAACTACTAATGAGTAAAACATCAGTTCGATTGGCAACTGGCATTTAAAGAACTTTCTTCGTTTGTACAATTCATTATAGTCTAATTACTAACTGACATGTTATTTTTTTTAGGGACTTAACTAGTCATTTTTAGTTCTCAATAAAAAAGTTAAATTTATCAATTGAAAATCCATAGAGAATTTCGAATTATCATATTATCTTTTTTTTGGTAGATATCTACTGCAAACATCATCACATCGACCGAATAATTTCGTTTGCTACAGCCCAAATATAACCGGATAATTTTATGCAAATTCGATATAGATGAGAAAAGGCTTTACACACATATCAACTGACGAAATTTTTTTGTAGCAAATTATATGATAATTTTTAATTGATTAAATATTATTACTTATATAGAACTTTACAGTTGATTTTTCGTACAGCTACAAATGTGTCTGCGAAAGTGATATCGACAAAAAACTTAAATATTAGTTTCTTTCTTTTTTTTTTCTTATTGAAAACTTACGTGGTGGTATTTTACAAACTGTTGCTGGATGCCATTGAAATCGTTGATTACAACATGGACTTTGAACAAATATTGGTGAATCTGAATGACATTCAGCAAAAACTTCACCACCAATATAATAAAGTCTTACACCATGACCAATCATTTTTCTACATGTTTCACTTTCATAAGTTCGATTAACATTTGTTAATGATCCAAGACAAAATCTATCTGATGCATTTGGATCACAAAATCCATCAATAACAAGTGAATTCAATGATGCATGAAATGTTTCACCAACACGTTGATTTAATTCATAATAAAGTATTGAACACCAAAATGGTGTTTCAACAAAAGATATTGCTGTTGTTGGAATATTATTTATTGTTGCTGGTGTTGGTGTCATAGCTTCAAAATTATCTTGTAAATTTGCTGGACTATTTACAGCTGTATGTTGTTGATCAGGTGATGATATACAATCCATAGAAACATTTGAATCTATTTGTTCTTGATAGCGTTCACTTTTTGTTGAATTAAATACAGCTCGATCCAAAACTGATACATAAACTGGTGGGATAACTAAATAATTAAAAAAAATATAAATAAGAATTAATTAAAATTAGAAATGTGTAGTAGGAGTTTATTAATCATAGTATCAAGAAGAAAGTTTCGTGGATGTGTCCATCGAATTTTGATCTGAATCTTTGCGTATATGGAAGAAAGAAGTCAAAAGTTTTGAACAAAATCTCTTCGAGATATGACGTTTTCAAGATATATAGACCCTTTTCCATGCATAGTGTATCTAATATACATTTTTTCAAAGTATCTATAGGCAAAAGATTATTAAGATCGGAGAGGCATATTTAACACGATTCGCTCGTTAGCCGGGCCTGTTCGGGTTGGTCTTAGACCCAATGGGCTCTACCCTACACATTTGCCAAATGGATCATTTGAGAAATATGAAGTCTGAATTAGTCACTGAATAAAAAAAAGCCGAAAAGTATGTCATATCTTTGGGACCGACTATCCTATACCGATTAGACATATTTTCTTTGAAAGTATCAAAATACGATTCAATTGAGTCCATGTTAGCGCTGAAACTAGAGTTCGGTGTTTTTAACCCTTAAGAGCCGAATGTCCCTTCCAAGGGACATTTAAATAATTGTAATCAAAGTTTTATAAAAATGTTGTAGACAAAAACAAATATTTTTCTGGATTGATATGACTTTCGAGGCCTTACCTAGACCAAAATGTAGTATTCAGGTGGCTGTCAGGCGTAGCAAAACACCTTTTTGGTCTGATGACTTTTTTCAATAACACCTTTTTTCCCTAAAGTTGTATCTATTCGGAGATGCGACATACAGTATAGTTTATTTTACGTTACACTCTTAAGCTTATCACCAAGCTATTCAATGTTAGCGTTCTAGAATCTTTTAACCGATCTACTGACAGATTGTGCCGTGATCAATAAAAAATTCCTTTGGTAAGACATTCAGCCTCATAGAAGAATCAAAACAATGTATTTCTAACATGAAACTTGGCTCACACATAGCCCTAGTAGTGTTTAGGAAGTTTCAAAATTTTCAGAAACAACTGTTGTTTCTTTCGCGAGATACAGAATATTGAAGTTTTTAGCAATTTTTAGCAAAATTTAGCTGGTTTTTGGATTTAGAATATCTCAGCAAGAAAGCATCCGTTCTAAGTGAAAATTTCGGAGCATATTAAGTATTATCAAAACTATTCAAAGGCAAAGTTTCAGATTGAAATTCCTATTTTTTCGAATTTTTACAGGGATGGATATTCCTGCCAAAGGAGGTTGTGTAGATGCAGAATAAGAAGAAGGTAATTATTTTTAAGTGTAGTACGAGTATACTGAGGGTCCATAATCTCTGTTTTTCTAATTAGATTCTCATTTTTATAAGCGGAAGCCACTTCGGCTTTTAAGGGTTAATATCGCGTGAAGTCGAAACCGTTAAATCATCAAGTAGATGCGAAATTTTAAAATCTATTCTGTGAAAATTTCTACTATTGAATTGTTGGTATGAGAACATCAAGATTTTTCGGCATAGATTTGAAAATATTTGTATTTATCTAATGATTTAACAATTTCGGCTGCAGTTTTTTCGAAACTTCCCAACTCTAATTGGAATACATCGTTAGATTCCTTACATGGTGCAACAACTCGTTCATAATGATAAGGATTAACACATATTTGATCTTTTTCATATTGAAATGCATATGAACATGTTTGAATGGGTCGTAATTCAAGATGTGTATTTAAATCTGGCCAACGCCATATACGACAAAAAGCTACAACAGGTGTTATATCATTAAATGCTTTTCGTACTGTTAATGATGGATTTGGTTCAACTAAGTTATTTTGTGCATCTCTATACAAAAGAAACAACAATGAAAAATAAAATTATATGTATATTTTTAATTTTCATACCTTGGAATTGTAACACAACGTGTTTCTGAATTTTTTGTATTTAATGCTGTTTGTAAATCATCAATCATAGAAGTTTTTGTTAAACGTTTGATTAAACCTTTGATTGCTTTTTCCGACCATTTATCTTCATTTGTATTCGATTGAATATTAAGTCTATATTGTAATAAATTTTTTAATGTTTGTGAATATATAGAAAATGAAAATGGTAAATTAAATAAATTACTCATTATATGTAATAACAAAATTTAACTGAATGCATATATACAATAGGGCATATTGAAATGATACGCTACGTTGACCTCTAGATATTTGTTTGTTTTTTTTTCGGTCATAAATATAATGTAAAGATTTTTATGAAAAAAATTCATTGATTTGAAATTTTATTTTATTTTAAAGATTTTATTTGAAATTTTTGTTTAATTGTAATATGAAGGAGGTCGAGAAAGATAAAGATTTTCATTCGTATGAAATATTAACCAATCAAAAAAGAAAACAAAAACAACTTATAATAATATGTAAACAAACATCAATTAGAAAATAAACTCGTTGTGGTAATAAAATGATTTTCAATATATGAAGAACGTGTTTGAACTAACAAACGTTTAAAAAAAATGAGATCAGTATTATACTTTCACTTCTAGAATCATAGAAGTGTCTCGTACGAAATTTATATTTTCAAGACAAGACTAATTGTAATCTTTATACATGATTGAACAGCAAATGAATCGAATTGTTATCGGTTCTGTATTATTGAACGATTAGCACATCAATTTTGAATACAAAGGAAAAGAATGTATGAATTGCACGAAGACATGTGTCGAATAGACTTTATTTTAGTATTTTATAAAGAATAAATAAAGTATAGACAAAATAATATAAAACGAAAATTGAAAAAGTTTTGATAGAAACAAAAAGGTTATTTTAAGTTGTTCTTGGAAAAGTAATTTAGAACTGGACCTGTGGTAACTAACTTTAGCCTAATTGGATTCATACAACTTCTGATAATAAAAATAAGGGCTTCTAGCTTATTCTTTGGACTATATGTAACAGTTTCGATTCATCTAAATACTTCCTGATTAGCAGTGGCGGATCTAGAATTTTAGAAGGGAAGGATGATTTTCGAAAGATGCGACGGTTATAGGCAAAAATCACTTTTTGAGACTTATGTGAGGTAGTAAAGACCAGTTGTTCGTACGTTTTTGCTGAGAAAAAACAAAAAAAATCTCTGGAAGGGGGAGGCGATCGCCTGATCGCCACCCCCCTAAATCCGCCACTGCTGATTAGTGATATGAGAAAAATAGATATAGTCGTTTGTCATTCAACTTCGGAATCGATGCACTGTCATATACTTAGATTCAGTTCATATGAAAACAACTTCTCAACAGTTTTATTTTGAGACTTGATTCATTAAACTGATTTAGAACTGAAACGGAACTCTTCAAAAATGTAATTATATCGATTGAATTGTGAAATTTATGCTTGTCAACATCATCTTAACAAGTTTATTTTGTTAAGATACGAAATTTCGTTATAACTATCCAGTAAAGAGATAATTAAGACTAATAAATTCATCAGTACAGTTTGTCCAACAATGCATCTACAGATATGTAAGTTCTAGTTATACGAAATTTGACATTTCATTTGGTCGAGTTATAATGACTCTAGGCGAATTGAAAGTTATGGTAACCTATTTATTCAAAAGAATTCCTTACATCAGTGTGATTCAGAATATGTCCACACTTTTCGAAAATTTCTTGCTTTGAGTGAGTTGTTTTTATTTATGTTAGCAGCTAAGATAACAAAAATAACGATAGTCAAATATTGTTTTTAAAAGTTTGCTCCTAGAAAGAATTATCATCACAATATTGCAGAAATGCACTCAATTCTTTCTTTTTTTACACACCCAAAAACAAGATATTTTTCCATCTTTGACAACAATACTAGATGACCCACTGATGTCAAATTGTTAATCAAACTTCAATGATAATTCTGTTAGTTTTATTCTTTTAACTGATAAAACAGTATTCGAAATATGATAAAAAACAATATAACTATGTTTTCGTCATTTTTACATAAAGAATGCTTCATGTTGGCTAGCGACTACCGTTGATTATTGTCGTTATTCAAAATACATGACATCTTCGGTAGAGAATAAACGAAAATCTATAAAAAAATTTCAATGAATAAGTTCGGTTGTTTCTTGTCTGAAAAATTCTCTGCACAACTTTGGTCAAATCTGATCTGTTTGAGCTGGACAAGCTGAGTAGTAGATTTCCGCAAGAGGAATAATTGTTCTCCTTCCAAAAGAATTTTGTAGCAGAAAAGGCATAAAAAAGAGCTAATACTAACGAGTGGGGCATAATCAATGTCCCACTTTTGCATTTCATTTTTTCGCAATTTAATACGTTGTATTAAAAAAAACAAAATATACCATAAGATGCAGCGTGAAAAGTTCTACAATTTATATAGGACCGCTTTTTTTTATAGTTACACTTTTTGCTTTCAAAATCGACAAAATATTTGGAGCGATCAAATTTTGTTCGTGCGAAAACGATATGTTTTTTTGGTAAAATATGAATTTGTTTTTTCTTATTTCATCTTCTTATCACCTGACATATTCTATTTAAAAAGAAAACAAAATACACCATTAGATACAACGTGAGAAGCTCTACAATTTACACAAGACAACTTCTCTTACAGTTGTACTTTTTGTTTTCAAAACTGACAAAAATTCTGAGCGATTAGATATTGATGCTGCGAACAAGTCATTTTTCAATACGCAACTAATCCATTCTTTCCTTATTTATCATCTGATGGATTGTTTTTTCTTATTTCATCTTTTTATCATCTGATATCTTTTATTCAAAAAACAAAAACAAAATATAACCCTAGATGCAGCAAGAAAACCTCTACATTTTATACGAGACAGCTTATTGTAATTGTTTTGTAAAAAATCAAAATTCTCTGCGATTAATTTTCGCATAGTCAAAATTTGATCGTTGTAAATTTTGACCACTTTTAAAGTAAAAAGCGCAACTATAAAAAAATCGGTTATATGTAAATTGTAGAGCTTTTCACACTGCATCTTATGGTATATTTTGTTTTTTTAATACAATGTATTAAATTGTGAAAAAATGGAATGTAAAAGTGGGATATTTTATTATGGCCCACACGTTATTTCTAATTAACTTCAAAACATGTTTGATGATGATCATCCCTCGCTATCATAAAAGTCCAAGATCCACCTTTAGATAGATTCTATAATATTTTCAATAATAAGCTAATCACTATTAGTTTTACTCAATATTATTTGTTTCGTGATTCGATTTAATATAGTCTTTAAATTGAATTTAAAATAATATAGTTAAACAAAAAAATCTTTATTTAATATATACAATTTAAAATATATAGTTCTTTAAGTCTTCTTCTACTTTTATTATTTTATTTAACTGATTCTCAAAAATACAACGAATAAATAAATAAATAAACGATGCACATGACTTGAATATAAACTATAAAAAAAACTGCAACTATTGAGAGTTATATCTTATACAATACAAAGGTAACATTATTATATATTAGAAGAAATTTTCTTTTTATAACGAAATATAAAGAGATCTATTCTGGCTTACTGATGACTATCAATACACAGAAATATAAATGTATGAAAGACAAGAAAAATCACAAAAAATAAAAAATAAATTTAATCATTTGTCATTTGTAAACGTTTAAGACGCATTTGAAATACAACATATTGTCGATGATAATGTCTAGCTAATTGTAATGCTTGTTGTGCATCATTTTTTCTCGATAGACGTGTAAAATAAGATCCAATATAATCATCATTATCAGCATTTACGGTTGTTATTTGCATAATTGATGAACGATTTTGTTCAAGTAAAGCCATACAAAGAAATATTGTAAACATATCTGAATAATCATTTTCATTATCAATAAAAGTCATATTTTTTAACCATTTTTCTAATGGTATACATGATGTTATAGGAAAATTATCTTGTTTAGAATAATTTATATGTAAATCATATACAGATGAACTTTGTTCATCACGATAACCAGAATCACCACCATCAATACTTGAATATTCATCATTTAAAATTTCTTCAGGTATTGGTGAACATGAACGTGATGATAATATTGTATTTGTTACTGATGATATTGTTGATAAATGATAACGTGTAAATATTGATGCTGGAGAAAGATCATCAATATCTGTATATGAATTATTATTATTTAATTCAAATTGATCAATTGGTAATGATGCCCATAATGTTTCAAATACACGAAATATATCTTTGAATGGAAACTCACGTTTACAATCTAATAATAACCAACGATATGTAAACATTAAATTACCTAAAATAAGTAACATATATAATTAAATCTTCTACAGAAAAAAAAAAAAAAAGTAATGACGAACCAGTATCACATTGTTTAATTTTATGCCATAACTCTAAATCAATCGCTTGAACAGTTTTTCTTAATAAATCTAATCGACGATTTATTGCAATACCATCTGAATGAAATAATGGTCCCATATAACGCATTAATGCACAAAAACAAACATAAACTAATGCTTCATCACGTATGACATAGAAAATAGGTGCTACCATATCAGTCATACCTGTAAAAGACAAAAACAAAATAAAAAATACTATTTTGTTTTTAATAATATAAGAGTATATAAACCTTGTACATAACCAGGTTCTGGATGATAAATACAATATGTCATAAGAATATTGAATAATTTTTGTCTTGATAAAGTTTTTTTATTATCAAAAAATTTCACTGAACTATCTGTACGTGTTATATCTTTTTGTATTAAAGTTTCCAATGTTATTATTTCTAGTTCTTTTTTACTTTGCCAAGATTGTTTCATTCTAAATTATATTCTTTATATAATAGTAAAAGAAAATTTTTTCAATATATACTCCTCATAATGTTCTTTAGCTTTAATTGTATATTTAGTTTTATCTTCATTTGTCATTGTTTCATTAAATACTCGAAATAAATAACACCAAACGATATTACGTATTGACTCTTCACATCCGTTATCATATATACGTTGCCGCAATAGTTGTTCATTTAATAAACGACCATTTGATGGATCTAGCATTAATTGAAATTCTTTTTTTGTTAAACATTTATTTGATAATGTATTAACTGTTCCATAAAACCAACTTGTGGCTTTTTTTAATAATGTTTCTTGTCGATGTGCAATTGATTTAATTGTAACTATAATACAATCATTATCAAGTTCTATTAACTCATAATTATCATTTATCTCATTCTCATTAATCGAATATTTATTATTATCATATTGATCAACAATAAATTCTAAAATAGTTTCATTTGTATGATTCATCATACAACCGTCAACATCAAAATCATCCGTAATAACAAAATTATTTTTAGTTTTTATTATAAAATTTGAACGTAAATTAAATATTTGATTAATTAAATGAACAAGAAATGCATGCGATAATAATGATGTATCAACAGATAATTTTTTTCGACATTGATAAATATTATATTTATTGATCTAAAAAAAAAAGAATTAATAGAAAATATTATTTAGAAAATTAATATTGTTTTCCTCTACCGTTATAGTAAATACAACAATATTTGGTACATGAATATTCTGTTGAACATGTCGGTCACTAAGTTTTGATGTGCTAGTGGATATAACCTATAATATATAAGATTTAGCTATTTTCATGTCAGCGTCTTAATGTAACGAACTTATAAGATAACAGTTCGTACGAATTACAATACTCGAAAATACTGAAACATCGGATTTACTCTCTTTAGAAATTGATATAATACATTACCTCATCATTACTATGGCATTCGCAATTGCCGTTTGTCATAAGTAATGAATCTGATGAATGCATTTGCAAGTCATTCGTTGACACCATTGTTTTCTGGAAGTGATATGCATTTTGTAAGAAACATCTCTCGCAACTTTTAAGAGTAAATAAATGACATCATTTTTGTTGCCGTTCTGACATAAGCTTATGGGGCATGGACAGAACGTATGAGCCTGTCAGTTACTGCTACCATTTCGTTCTCTAGATTTCTCTTTCTTGTTATATTTTTAGTCATTGTCCTTTTTTTCAACCTACCATCATACATCATTATTATCAACTTCGTTTACTTGAATCTACTGTAACATGTGCTTTAGAATTGTTTCGATGTGAGGTATGTTAGAGAAGCAAAAAGAAAACTGAAGACATCTGTTTGATATGCTTTTTCACTATCTTATCAGTTGTTTGATATTCGCCAAGGTAATAAAAGCAAAATAACAACAGGTCGTGTACTCATCCTATTTCGTTGAAAAAAAACATAAATTTAGAAATAGGCCATAGATCTTTTTTTTCTGTTTACAGAATATAATTAATTGAATAGAATTGATATATAGTTTGTGTTTCAAGTATTGATTATCATGCTTGATAGTTCTCGGAATTGCCGGAGACTGTTTTGTTTCAAAATACGATTCATATCTTTCGCTGTTGTAATTTTTTAAAAGACGTCAATACTTTCTTTGTATTCACGAAGATCTAGATCGGTTTAAGATAGTATTATTGTGTGTTGGAGAGAAAGAAGGTTTCTAACTATCAATGTAGAAAGGACCATTATAAAACAGAATATGAGCCTTAGAATAGAACGTCACGTGATATTTTTATTTTTGATGAAAATAAATAAATTGTGATGAAATTTTTAAGTTCGTGTTCGTGCTTGTAACATAGGAATCTACAGTGACCGCTAACAGTTATCCAAACAGTAGATATTTTTATTTTTTTTCTCAGAAGCTTAGGTAATCTGATTTTTGTCAAATTACAGTCCATACTCATTCCTATTTTATTAAAAAGATTTTAATTCAATCTATTGATTCGCTTTTAGTTATTATTGGCGATATAAATTATGACATGCCTTTTGTCATTCGTCCAACCATTTATTGTTGCACACTATTGTGTGCCTGTTCTAAATGGAAATTTTCTTTTTGATTCATAATTCAATACGACAAATTGCGCTTTACATAAGAAGATTTTTTTATCGCAGCTCTCCTGTTGTTAAGAGTAAACGACCAAAGTTTTTTTAGCTCACAGCGATAATTATCAACAAAAAAGACTACAAAAGATACTTTTTCTGTTGTATGATGTTTAGCCAACTTGATTCTTCAAGATATCATGAGAGGTTAGATTTTCGGATCGGACCAAAAGTCCTTCCACAAATCATCATAAAAAGCCTTATTTCTGTGAATACAAGGTACACTTCATGTGCTTAGCAGATGTGTATGGATGTGCGTGTGAGTTTTCTCTTCACCACACCCACATACACACACCATCCACTAAGAGCTACGTCATGCAGCCATAAAGAGAGAAGTATTGTTAGCTAAAGCAACAAGATATCATGGCCATTATGCTGTTATTAAAAAGACAAATATATTTCTTGTTCTTTATGTTTTAGTTTGAAACTTATTACTTATCTGTAAGGTTTCATGTTCTTTTCTTTTTTGATAAAAAAAAGAAGAAGATTATAATTAAAAAGTGAGCTTGCCCTTAATAAAAAGGTCAACAAATTAATAACACTTATCAAAATAAATTAATTAGTTGAAAGTGTATCAGAAGAGCATCAGGTAGTAGCCCTATAATCATTTTATTTTTTGCGATAGCACTTATTGTATACAACTAAAAATTGTCTCAAAAAATCACGCTACTTCTAACAAAGTCGAAAGAGACTATAATATATAGTTCTGTTGGGTACTATGAATTGTACCGACCTTTTTATAGAATTTCAGGTTCTCAGAGAAGTCAATGAAAAGAACCTGTGCCGGGGTCAGAAGTTTTGTATGACAATTGGTCGGAGCAGAAAAGTCACTAGAAGTTTGTCGCAAGCTGAAACTCATGTAATCTTGTATCCCTAGCAAGAACGCTATGACATTGTATTGATTCCTTATGACCACGACATTTTCTCCAAATAATCACATGTTTGGATCGAGGTGTGGGTGTCGGTGTGGATCTTCTTTTACTGCAAGCGCACACCCACACCCACACCCTGTTTATTCTGAATATTTGAGTCGTCAACCTTCTCTTCAGTATTCATCATAAAATTGTCATAATTTTCAAGAACAATAAATCAATATCAATATATTTTATATATATTTCACTATTTTGTGCAACTCGCGTATATTTTCGAAGAAAATAGTGAGTATAAGTTTTAAGTTCAAGGTTTCGCGACTCTCCAGCCCCCTCCCCCCACCCCTTACAGACCATAGCAACGTATGCCCCCATTACAGACCTCTGCAACCGCGTGCAATAGGCTTCAGCTTTATTTAACAATAAAAAAACAGTTGAACAGTATGAATAATATGAGTTCGACTGATGTACAATATTTCAATGCTTTCAAAATTATTTGAAAACTATTGTATATTTGTTAAAGTTCTTAATAGTGTATCATTCACTGTTTTATAAGTAAAACGTGTATGCTAAAAATCAAAGACGAAGAGTGAATATTTATATTGATCTATCATAACAATTATATAATTAATATGAAGGCATGATTCGAGGGTGTGAGTGTGGGTGTGGATTTTCTTTTACTGCAGGTGTACATCCACACCCACACTCCGCACCCTGTTTATTCTGAATATTTGAGTCGTCAACCTTCTCTTCAGTATTCATCATAAAATTGTCATAATTTTCAAGAACAATAAATCAATATCAATATATTTTATTTTATATATTTCACTATTTTTTTTACTATTCTCATTTTTCCACCTGACAGATACATGCACAAATTTTAAATATTCCAAACTAATTTCCTTTGTAAGACTCTTTATCCCATAAAAGAGAATACAAATAGGAATATTATTATTGATTTGGTAAATAACTACAATAATATCAAAATCCATTACTATGATTAAAATCAGCAATAGCAACATAGAAGTCAGTAAAAACGATGCACTCGTAAAATATTCTTTTACCTAAGGATAAAATGATGATTGACTGTCTTCCAAAAATATATAAATAACATTAGTATTATCATCGATAATAATATCTAAATTATTATCATTATCAAAATCATGAAGTGTTATAGAACGCGGGGGAAATTCCCATGGTCTTCAAACTAAACTTTACTGTATGAAATAAATCACTACCATATCCACGAAATATTAGTATAATCTTGTCACCATAATTACGACAAAAATATCAAGATTATTGGATGATAATTGAGTGAATATTGAAGTTGAGCCAATTGACAAATACATTGATGAATTAACGATCATTCTTCTTCAACTACTTGTTTTAGAAGATATTTATAGTTTTTTTTGCAACTTAATTTGATAAAAAAAAACATTTTTCATTTTATTAAAATAAAAATGGTTTTTGATTTTATTTTATTGGACTTGTCTTCTAGAAAAAGAAATACCAAATTTTACCCAGTGAAAATTCAAGAATTACACATCAATGGTCAAAAGGTATACTTTTACCTATTCACTTTCAGATGGCAATCGCCAGACCCATCGACGTGGTGGTCGAACAAGACGTCAAAGTTCTCTTCGCATACGTGCAGCTACTCTTATTTGTTGTACTTTTTGATGTTCTGGTTGTGCTACGAGTTTTTGTCGTTGTTCGAGCGGTGATGAGAGTGCGGCTTGTTGAAGTTGTTGAGTCTGCTGCTGAAGCTGTTGTTGTTGAGATTTTCGTTGAAGCTAAAACATAAGAAAATCATACTAATTAATTCGACAATGTAAAAGCCACTTACGTTGACAATGGCGTGATGAGCTTCAGCCAACTGTTGTTGGAGAGATTTTGGCTAACATTAGCGAAAAGAGAAATTCATTAGAGAAGCAAAAAGTAATTAACCCTAGGACTACCAAGCTTATTTTTGGAGATAATATGAGGAAATGCATTTGTATTCTACGATTTTGATTGTTGAACCAGTATTTTTCTTCGAATTAGGTTATTTTTCTCTTCAGTCTTGTAAAGAAACTATTAGAATTATAGTTTTTATTTATTTGGAACAAATAATATAAAAAATTCGCTGAACAGAGTGCTCGTCACAAACAGGTTGGGTGTGGGTATGGCATGAGTCATCTTTTACATGATACTCACACCGTCACACCCACACCCTCAAGTTCAAATAAACCTTGTGTTGGTCAAAAATAAAATCTTCTCTCTCATTCTTATGCTATGCAAAATCAAAATGAATAAAGACACTCTTTAAGACATTTATCTAAATAATTGATGTTTTGTTTTTCTATTGATCATTACCATCATCGCGTTAGTTAAATGAAAGATTAAAGAAAAATAGCATCACGTGTATTCTTCAGTGTAGACAACATACATATTGTCTCTTTTTCTCTTTCTTGCAAGAGCCTAATGCAGAATTTTTCTGAAACAAGCAAGGAAATGTAAAATATTCATTATAGAAAGAATAAAAAAAACATCTTTTTAATATAAAATAACAATATAAAATGTGACTGTCTAATTTTATTTGTTAAACGAAATTTCGAGTATCATTTTTTTTTTATATATAAAACTACAAGTTTTTAGTATAGATAGAATTTTATTTGTTGATGGTGACTAAAGATTTTTTTATTTCATGTTTAGCCGTATTTTTATTTTCACTAGATGAAATCATTTAATTTAAATCTTTTGTTACATTTATTTATTTAAATATATTTATTTCATCTTTTAATCTATTTATTTCAACAATAAAAATATAAAAATGAAAATAAAATACATTATTGATCATGAAAAGGTCTTGCAGATGGTAGAACTTGATTCGAAGAAATAAAATATATTGATTTTATTTATGAAGATATATTCATATTTAACTTCATAAATATCATCTTGATTTAGTTAGTCTAAAATGGGTTTGGGATGTGGATGTGGCCGTTGACAAAGACAAGTTATACGCCACGTGGTTAAAGTTAGCACCAGATTCGAGTTTTTGCTGTCCGGATTCGTTTGTGTACTAGAGTTATATTTCGTTCAACTTGATTTAGATGCAGAATTTTACGGCGAATCCGATGGTGTAATGATCAAGGGGTGTCATCGAGCAAAAACTAGGACTTGACCCCGAAATACGGAATTTTTCAAAATTTTTTGAAAAGTATTTGCTGTCCGGATTCGCTATTTTACTTGAATTGGGTCTAAAAATGGTTGAGTTGGATTCAGCATAAAGTTCTGCATCGAATGATATCGATTTAGTATGGGGTCATCGAGCAAAAATTTTTCACCTCACCCAGCCACACCCCCTCATGGTGACCCTCACCCTCACCCATATGAAAAATTTTTTTCCGATGACCCCATACTACATCGATATCATTCGATGTAGAATTTTATGCTGAATCCAACTCAACAATTTTTAGACCCGACTCAAGTAAAATAACGAATCCGGACAGCAAATACTTTTCAAAAAATTTTGAAAAATTCAGTATTTCGGGGTCAAGTGCTAGTTTTTGCTCGATGACCCCCCTTGATCATTACACCATCGGATTCGCCGTAAAATTCTGCATCTAAATCAAGTTGAACAAAATATAACTCTAGTACACGAACGAATCCGGACAGCAAAAACTCGAATCTGGTGCTAACTTTACCCACGTTTATACGCCTACAATCAAAACCCACACTCACACCCTCATCCACAGTTACAAAAGTATAAAATTATTTATTGTAACAAGAAATCGAAATCTTTTGACAAACATCAATAAAATAATAGTAAAACTTCTATTGCAAGGAACATTATATCTAATAATTATCTTTATTTTCTTTTAACATTATGAGTAGTAAAATATGTTCATGAACTCTGATTAATTTTTAAAATCGAACTTTATGAATTATTTACTTTTGTTCAATTGGGTGTAGGTGTAGTTGATTTTTTCATATTAACCCACACTCACATCTACACCAGATTCTTGAATATTTCTTTATAAAATTGTTATTAATATGACCTATTCAAAAACTTAAGAACAATGTACTCTTCTATATCTATTTTATTACATCAAACAGTGCAAAATACTAATTTATCACATCGAGTGACCGGTATTAGTTATATTAATTATTTAAACGTCAAATATTTCTTATTTGATGAAAAAAAACAACAAAAAAAAATTCTAGTTGTTACACACGAAACACACACAAACATAAATTTTTGTTGTCAAAATTTATTTCATTTGTTTTTTATTTTGTTCTATTTGTCGTATATGTTCAATAAGTTCTCTATGACGTATTTTAAATTGATATATCAAATTTTCATAATGAATTTGTCGTTCTTTAAGTTGTTTTGATGTTATTTGAAGTAAATCATATAAACGATAAACATATAAACGAAGAGTTTTTTCACGTTGTATAAGTTCATTATGAGAACTTTTGATTAATATATCATCTTCATTATTCAATTTAAAATATTTATTTGTTAATTCAAGTAAATCAATTTTAGTTTTAAATGCTTTTTTTTCACGTAATAAACGATCATTTGTCCAACGTAATTCACTATTTTCATGTTTTAATGTTAATAAATCAACAAGTAATATTGATATTTCAAGATCAGCTACATCAACAATACCAGATATATTTGGTGGAGGACGAAATTGTTCTTGAGAATATGAAAATAATTGTGCTCGTTTGGGTAATTGAGATAAATGTCGTTGACATTGTTCATGTAAAAGAGCTATTGTACGATAAAGTTCACTAGAAAGCATATACAAAAATTTTAAATTTTATCATCGGAATGTTTTCAATTTCGTTTTTACAATCTATAAGTATTCTTAGTGAACTTTCATCAATTCTCATAGAACAATTTGGATGCAAAATACATGTGACAATCATATTCAATGTTATTGAAATGTAACTTCTTGTTGGTAATCGAAATGTGTTCGAATATAATCGAATCAAGTTTGAGTTTAAAATCAGAAAGAATTACAATATGTTATAGAAAAATAAGATCTATCAAAATGAACTCAAGTACGATTAAGTAATGAACTTGAACGTGAACAAGATAAATCTGATTTTTGAAACATCATTTTCGTTTTCTTTCCCGACAAACAGATTCACCAACGATACGATAAAGAAAAATTACTGGATCAGTCAACAATCTTTCTTTTCAGTTCCCAGCAAGTGTTATAACTTTTCGATCTGCAAATGAAAGAACTGTTTCCGATGTTCACGTTCAAAGTCAATGATTTTTTTGTCTTTAGATAGTAGGTAATGTTCCAATAAAAAATTCTAGAAAACTTTAATAGTTTTTTGAAGTAAAATCTATGACTATGACATGGATAAATACCATCTATGAATGCTATTGATATAAATTTCTGTAGTCAATACCAAAAGAGACCAAACTTCAGGTAGCTTTTTTTTCCTGTTTTCAACAATTAATTAATTCAATTTTTTTTAAATATAGGTCAATCAACACATGTTGACATGGCCTAATGGTACTAATTATTAACACCAAGACAGCAAGATGTGAAACCAAGCAAGGTTACTATTATCGAATGTTACTTTTTCTTTTTTAAATATCTTAATGTCTAGTCAATCTCTTCCTCTATGCGTCTCATATCATGACGTCATGCACATAACATCATTTTTTTTTTTTTTCTGCACATATTTTGCTCTCATTACAGAGATTGTTATTATTCATTGGATCAGTAATAAGCACTCACTGTTTACAATTAGAAAATGCTCACATAGGGAGTGAACTGTACTGATACTAGACTTTACATTCAATGATTTGTGTATTAAATGAAAACTTTCAATAAGACATGATTACATATTTGGACAATAAAATTTTACTGTCAAAAACAATATAGAACAATTTCCAATGATTTGAATATTAAAAAATTTCAAAAATATTTTCGACCTTAAACTCTATACATTATTCATGGATAATGACTATTGAAAATTCCTATAGAGGCAGCAGATAATGTCACAAAAATAAATTTTTTTAAACACAGAGGCAACAACTAACTTAAATATCAATAAAACTTGCCATTATTCCCTATAGACTTAAAACAATAGAAAGAAATTTTTTTTGTGTTATTTCAAAAAAAATCTGTAGTCTTAAATGCTTCATTTTGACATTGAATTCATAGGAACATATAACAGAGCCTCTGTGGCGAAGCGGATTAACGCGTTGGACTTCTAATCCAAAGATCGTGGGTTCGATCCCCACCAGAGGTGGTTTGAATGATTTCTTTTTTTTTTTGCTTTCTATCATAGAGACTAGCAAAAAAAATAAACTTACCCATTTTCTACATCTTGATTTATTCCTACATTTGTAATATCACTAATTTTTTGATAAATATGTATTTCATGATTATTATCGTCATCACGTTTTCGTTTATCAAATGTTATTTGAAAATGATCAATTAATTGTTGAAATGTTTTTATCAGTTCATATTGAATTTGTATACATTGTTCATATTCAATTAAATATTGTTCATATTGACAAAATAAAACATATTGTTTTTCATATGAATATTTACAATCAGCTAAAAGACGTTGTAATAAATCATTTTCACATTTTAATTGTTCATTATATGAACATATAGATAAATATTCTAATTCAATATGATTACGTATAAATGTTTGATAACATGAACATTTTGAACAATTTGAACATAATTGTTGATATAAATAAACAAAATGTTCTTGAATTATTGATGAATAATTTATATTTGATACAGATACTTCAGCTAAACGTCGACGAAATGTTGGAGTTGTTATTGATGAACTTAATATACTACTTGTTGGTGACCATATTGAATAACATGATGCTGACTATAATGAGAACAAAATAATAGTAATGATATAAAAAATAAATATTTGAAATTTTTAATGTTTTTCTTTTTTTTTTTTTCTTAACAGTTGGTTATGTATATTTTGTTATTGTTATATTTGTTAGAAATCTACACGCACAAGCTGCGTCTATTTACGTTGTGAGAATCATTCTCACATCGGCCATGCTATGGTCGCTTGCATATGAACGATTGTATCGTGTACTAAATGAACCTTCATGATCAGTATCATTTGTTTGTTTATGTAAATTTCGTTTTAATAAATCAATTTTTTTATTTGCATGATAAAGTTCTTTAGAATTTTCAGTTAATTTTCGTGTTATCATTGTTTTTATCATTAATACATCATCACGTATTTTTGATAAACGAACTGTATGAGACTAGAATATTAAAAAAATATATTATAATTTAAAAGCAAATAATCGTTGTTCGAGAGAAATTTTAGATAATTTTAACTTGATTTTTTTTTCTTAAATTTTTAAGCCTGATCAAGTTCTAATCCGATTACAGAATGTTGAATATGAAATTCTGACTTGAATAGATTGAAATAATCTCATGATCAATATTGACACGGAGTCTATGCTCGTCTTTCTTATTGAATTCTTTAAAATTTTGTATAAAAGAAAAATTTAAATTGATTCAAAATATCCTATGATTTAATTAAACTTGTATTATGATTGCAACATAGGAATAATAATTTTGAAGGCTTTTTTCACAATATTAATTTTGGATGAAAAACATTGTAATCAAATGAAATTCTCAATCCGACATTAAAGCCTTATTTTATTAAAAATTAAGACTGATAAGTTCAATATTGCAAAATATATTTCTTAAAGAATTGAAATTTTTTCGAAAGTTTTTACTTGTCACTTATCATGTGCAACAGAAAATAAAATCTATAGAATGAAGATTTACAGAAAATTTCAGTTTTGCCATGTTAGATTCTTATTTGATGAAAACTTCACATTATTGAAGTGTTTCTAATTGTTGAGAACATTTTTAGTTTTTGTTACTATCTTTTTAATCCTTTCATGTTGTGATGAATGTCACACCTATGTCAAGAAATCTCTTAACGCAATTTCAGTAGGATTGAAATTTGAAACATAATGTAACTATTGTTGCTAATCCCTAGAATATTGTTTCATTCTATCTATTTTAAGACACATTCATTAAATAACAACTTACGTATTCAGTGATATTCTATAATTTAAGATCGTATGAAGATATATCTAATGACAAAAGTAGAGATATTGAATGATGTTGATCTTTTTTTTCCTGTATAATCGTTTCTGAAAATTAGTCTAGGGTGTAAATGTTTTCTATCTTAATGTTAGGAGACTTTTCGTTTACTGAATATGAAAATTAAATACTACATGAGAAAATAATGAAATAATATTTTCTTAGTTCGATAAAAAAAAAACTCTAATATCTATTCTATTCTATTAATCTACTTACTGATTTCTTTGCAATAGTAAGTAATTCGTCTGCAATAACATTGAATTGTAAAGTAATAGTTGAAGTTTCATCATATTCTGGTTCAAGATATATTTCATCATTATCATCTTTTTTATTTGAATCTATTGAAATGAAATTTACAACAATGAATAATTTATTTATAATTTACCATTGATTGTTGATTTAACAGATTTTTTTGATTTAAAAATTTTTCGACGTAATCGTTCCATATTCTAAAAAAATGACTTTATTAAATTTGTTGTGATTTAATTAATTAAAATAAAAATTTATTGAAAAAAAAACAAAAATATATATATCAAAATATTTAAATAAATAAAACAAAAAACGTATTTATCATGAAATGAGCGATGGTGCAATACGTTTTTGTGTTTTATCACAAGATTTTTCTATTTGATCAAAACGATTCCATTCAGTACTTGATCTCTAGATAATGAAAAAAAAAACAAAGAGAAAAATAATTTCTTAAAGAAAAATAAATCATACGAATGAAGTATAACTCTTAGAAAACGATCCAGATAATAAGGCACTTTCTCGTTGTTGTTGTTGACTTGATAAACGTTGAGCTCGTCTTATTTCTAAATGATTTTTTAATTGTTGAAGTTCTGAATTATTTTTATCAATAATTGCTGGTATATTTATATTTTTTTGTTTTCTATGAGAATTTCTATTTCTTATTTTATTCATTAAATAAAATAATATATTACTTTATAGCAGCTTGTGCTGTTAAATCATTTCTATATTTAGCAATATTTTGAATTGTATTTGTTATCATTTTTTCTTTTGTTTGTTTATCTTTAACAATTTGATCACGTTTTAATTCACGTTCTTTTTCTCGTTCAAGTTTTATTAATTCAAGACGTTCATATAATTCAGCTATGGACATTTCATCAAAAAAACCATAACCATGTACAGATGTTAAATCAACTGGTTTCCATCGATCAACTGGTAATAATTCAAAAGCTCGAATTTGTTTAATTAATTCAGCACGTTGTCGCATTTCAACTTCTGCCTATTAAAATATACAAACTAATATAGTAATATCATTTTTATCAGACTTATAATAATGTTATTTTTTTTTGTAATATGTTTGATTTCACAACGTATAACTGAAATTATAGTATATTTATATAATTTAAATATCGATATGATGAAAGTTATTTAATACTATGAAAGATTTCTTTGTAATTTGTTTATGTGGCTTCTGAAGATATTATAAAAGAAAATATGAACTTAATCGATTTTTTAATTGAGTGTTTACTTTATCTTGAGAGACTATACATCGTTCAATCAAAAAAAACAAAATTTCTAACCATTGGATTCTGTTTAAAGTCATATTTTGATTATAAAATTAAGAGTACTTTAAAAAAGATTCGCTTTTTCAGAAAGATAGAACTTTTATTTTGATAAAATATTAGATATAACATGCAATGATAATGACTAAGAATATAAGAGTTATTAAGTCAATAAGCATACAAGGAACCTACGATGAGTATGGATGCAAAGTGAATTCTTATTGACACTTACGAGAGAACGACGTCCTCAACTGTCAAATCGCTTTTTGATCGAGCATATCCTCAAACGATAGACCTTAATGAGAGTTTTCCAGTCTTCTGTTGTCAAACTATGGGCCTTTTACTCGATTTTGACTTATGGGTATGAGATTCTGTTGTTGAGTACCTGAATGATTCAATTTCAAACTGAAATTTTGCCCATAGATAAGCCTTATAAGCACTAGCAACTCCTCTAAGTTTGAACTAGAATGAATATATCCTTATCGAGATATTCACATTTTAAAGAAACGCCTGTTTTGATCTGTGTTTCAATTTTCATGACAAGTTGATATCTCGATAAGGATGCGTTCGTTCTGGTTTAAACTTTGAACTTCGATCATTCAGGTACTCAGAAGAATCTTATGCACATAAGCCAAAATCGAGTAAAAGGCCCATAACTCGCCAAAAAAAAAGGCTGGAAAATCAAACCATGCTAAGGCATTTAATAACTCACTGAGGTCTATTGTTTGAGCACATGTCCGATGCAAAAGCGATTTGACAGTTGAAGACGTTCCCTCGTTAGTGTAACGTCAGAATTTTTAATATGTCTATTTTTTTTAGATTTTGAGAAATGTATCATTAAATATTTTACAAACCTCTTCAAGTGCTTGTTTCATTAATTGTTTTATTTCTTCTTTATATTGTTTAACAAAATCAGCTTTATATTGTTGAAGTTTTTGTTGTGCAATTTTAGCATTATCTCGTGAATTAACAATTTCTTCAATTAATTGTCTAAAAAAAAAATATAAATCGAACTAATTTTTTTTTTTTGTAAAAGTTAATTTATTTACTTCATTCTTTGTTCTTCTTGAAGTTTTTCTTTAACATGTATTTCAATTGCTTCACGTGTTTGACGTTTTATTTCATCAGCTATATGTCGATTTTCATCAATTAAATGTTGTCTAGCAAATATAGCTTCTTCATAACTTATTTTTCCTTCTAATCTTCTACGTTCAATATTAATTAGTTGTTGTTCATAATCTTGTTTTTGCATTGTTTCTTGCCATTGAAAAAATTCATGTGCATCTTTTCCACCATATTCATAATCATGTAAACGTTGACGAACATTATTTTCTTGTTTTTTAAATAATTGATTTTCTTTAAGTATTGCAGCAACATTTAATTTAACTGGAATTTTATTTGTCTATAATAAAAGATAAAGAATGATTACTTTTTTTGTTGCTATTGAAGTTTTATTTTAATCCTTCGTTATTGGTTTATGAATCGATTAAAAAAAAATTAAGCAATTAAATAAACCTGAAATTTTGGTAATGGATTTGCTTGAAATTGTTCAACATGAAGATATTTTTCATTTTCTTCAATAAATTTTGCTTGTTTAATTTGAGTTTTATTTGATTTTTCTGTTTTCATATAATGAAATGATAATGATCGTGTACGATTTAATTTATGTAAACCTTGTCGATGATTTTCTTCGCGTATTTTTTCTAATTCATTTTGTTCTTTTGATCGTTCATAAGTTGATTTTGGTGGTGGTCGATATTTTTCTATTTTTGGTATCTTAATATAAAGAAGACATTTGGGGAAAAAATAAAAATATAAACGAACTTTACTAACAATTTTTGGAATAGAATTAATTCGTTCTTTTGGTACAGTAAGATTAAATGGTTTAGTTTTTGTTGGTTCTGGTAAATGACGTGTTGCTGTACGACCTTCCATGATATTATTTATATCAAGTAAAATACCACGTAAAATTGAACGATGTCTATTCGAAATACAAACACACACACACAATAAAAAGACAGATCATTTAAATAAATATAAAGAAAAACATACTTTTCAATAACTCGAAGAATTTTTTCATCAATATATTCTTCATCATATATTTTCAAACATTCTGTTTTGATAATTGAAATATAATCTTCATTAATAAGAAATTGTAAAAACTTAAGGAAAATAAAGTAGAATTTTAGATGTATGCAACGGGGAAAGTTTTAATGGAAAATGGTGATGTGAATAATAAGCAAAAGGTTGTGAACAGTGAAAACATTGGTCATTTAATCAAATTCACACTTAATTTGATATGTTCACCTGATGTACATGATATAACTGTACGGAATAAATAAATCCTTGTAAAAGTTTTAAATCAACTGAATCAAGTTGAAAAATAATAATATAAATAAGAACTAAAAAAAAACAAAACTATATTTTTTTTCTTCAATGAAAATTTTTCACATAAGAAAATAAACCTTTATAAATATTTTGTTCCGATTTTCGTATCTTAATACCATCGGTTTTATAAAAAATATCTATGATTGTTTTAAGTAATTCTGCATGACGTGTACAATCAATTAAAACTGTTGATATAAATGATTGATTAGAAATCTATGATAATAAATCCTTTTTTTTTTGTTTTCATTCAAAAAAAAAATTACTTTATTTAATTGAAAATATTCTTGTAAAAATATTTCTTCTGCTATATTATTATTATATTCATTTAATACTTGTATACAATGATAAAATAATTCACTATATTCATTTATATTTCGTTCCATATCGATTGTTTTACAATTCAATAGATTTTTATTCTACCATTATCATTCTATTTACTATGGTAATCGAAGTATACAAAAAACATATAAATCTAATTCTATTGGTTAAAATTTTTTCTCCAATAAAAAAAAATATTGATTAATAAATTGTTATTCATTCATTTATTCACACTTCCCATTTATTTATTTTTTTGTTTATTTATCAATATCATAAAATGTTAATTAAAATAAGTTTTTTTCTATTTATCATCTTTCAATTATCTTATTCATATAAAACAAATCCAACACCATGGTTATGTACAGAATCATTAAATGATACAACAAATGTATTTCCATCATGTTTACCCGGTTATGTTATTGATATTGAAAATGTTATATATGAATCAACAAATGATAATACATGTTCTGGTATAACATTATGTCGAATAGAAAATAAAAATACAATATTATTTTCATGTAATCATAAACGTACATGTCCTATTAATATACATAATTTACATTTTCATATTAATAAAACATGTAGTATAACAAAAAGATTATTTATTAAATATCGTTGTTTACCAATAATACAAGAACAAAAAGATTATTTATGTGAACAATCAACACAACGACGTTTACGTTTAGGTGATATTAATTTATCATGTATAAGAAATTATCGTTTATATATAATAAAATCATTAATTGGTATTAGTATAAAACAACAAGATGAAATAAATAAAAATTCATTTAAATGTAATAAAGATACACAAACAATTTGTAATTATGATATACCAAATTCATATCATGATATATGTAATAATCAATTAAAAGATGGTAATGATGATCAATGTAAAATAAAATATCATGAACGACCAATATTAAAAGATTGTCAATATGGAATGTTATCAAATTTTTCAATGGTTGAATATTTATGCATACCAGGTTAATCTCTCTTTTTGGTTTTTAAAAGATAAAAAAACATGTTTAATCAATTAGAAACTGTAGGTCGATAACTAGGACCTTAGTTTTTTTTGCTAATATAAACTTGAAAAGAATTAAGTGTGAATCAACAATCTAATTTCAAGTAGGATATTAAGATTTCTTAAATATATCAGAAGTTTTGAATAAACTTTTGATTTATTTTCATAGAGTTGAATTCTTCGTTAGTTTAATAACAAAAAAAAAATGAATAGTTTCATTAAACCGGAAGGAGAATATGTGAAGAGATTCAACAGTGTATTATGCTAACAAATGAAGGAAATCGATCAATTCATTAAGCCAATAATCATACTAAAATCTTCAGCTATGTGAAATAAATTCTCTAGAATCAATGTTCAGAGCTATGAGTTCACTTTTTTTCTAGATCCGAACTCAATCCTAGAACTTCCTATTTACCCCTGTAATATTGTCTTTTTCAAAATATATTAAATGTTTCCTTATTTAATGTCAATTATATTTATTATTGTTTTAATAGGTGATGGTATAACTGAAGATCTTCCTCGTATTAATATATGTTCAATAGAAACATCTGAACTTATATCAATTGATCGTGGTTTATTACATTCACCTAATTATCCACAAGCATTAGGTCAATATTTAACATGTAAAAAACAATTATTTGTTCCACATGAAGCACGTTTACGTTTATTTATGCTTGAAAAATCGATTGAATATTCTCATGAATTAAATATATATTTATTAAATCAAACTCGAACATTAGTTCGTAATGAATTATTAGATATAAATATAACAAATCAATTAATTCAATTTGAATTAAAAACAAATCATCTTGGTGATGGACATTTTTTACTTTATTTTCAAAGTAAATATTTTAATTAGAGATGAATGTCTTTTGTTTATCTCTAATAATCAAAAATTAATTTATTTTAGTTGATTCACGTATATCAGAATATGCACCATTCACTTTGGAACTTGATAAAAATATCAATAATGATAATCAACATGGTAAAACATTATTAAGTCGAGATTGGAGTATGTTGAATATTTATATAGAATGTTTGTAGGGAATGTTCACATAATATATCTCTGTATACTATTCGAGTGATTTAATTCAATATGCATTAGGATTATCATCAGATGAAAATCGAGATTCTTTTTCAAAAATCTCATTACAGAAATTTTAGTCAGAATTGCGGCTATGTGTTAATTGTAAACGCACTCAAATTGCGTGTATTAGTCACATTGATTATTTTTACTTATTAAAGGTAGCACTACGGAAATATTTGATGCTCATATGCTATGTGCTGTACTAAATTGGTAGTTATTCCTTGATTGACAAGTTACTTCGATAGTGCGATGAAATAAATGTCAATGTTGAGAATACGTTCACATTCTAATACAATGGTAGGATGTTATAATGTGCGATTGCATGGAGAGTGCACAGTATGAGTTAGAGTATCTAATAACATAGAACAAATACATTTAAATAACGAAGCATAAATGAAAAAAAGAAAGATAGCATATGCAATGTCAGAGTAAAGTTCATGATACATAAAACAGATGATATAATTTACATAGAACTAATTCATGAAAATGGATTATATATATCTGTAGAGTAGAGCAGATTTGATTGTATTATGATTTACGTTCAACTTTGATTTTCTTTAGATTCTTCATATTCATCCTTCATTTTACTTATAAAAATACAATATGTTTGTCTTGATAATCATATAAACCTTGTAATAATATACAATTGATGATGATCACTATCATGTGAAGTATTGATGTCACAATGTCAGAAAGACAGCATAATATAGATAGCTATCCGGAATATGTTAGTGCATAGTCTCATGGGTACATATCATATAATAAATATGTTAAATAAGTTTTAGAATATAAATGAGAATTCTGATATACATGAAATTATACAGCGATTGCACACATATACAAAAAAAAAGAAAAAAATGTAGTATATATGAAAACTAGTAAAGAATTATAATGATAGATGTATGACCAAAGCTATCAATCTATAGTATGTAAACAAAAGAAAACCAAATACATGAATTTTTAGAAGACCCGGTTAATAGGAAATTGTACATTGTAGCATATTTAACCTTAGTGTAGTGTGCTAATATTTGTAGAATGAAACAAGGGTTGTAACAATCCAAGCATTTAATAGCAGTACATTATTATAAATTCCCGTCAAAATCTTTTAAACTGTTAAAAAGCATTTCTAGCACAATCTAGGTCTGACATTATATGCTAAATTTAATTTGCGTTTTTTTTGTTATAGTGGCCTTAGTTAATGATTTCGGTATCCCGGATTCATGAATATCCGGTCGGAAAATGGTAGGAGCTCGGAAGCATGAATCCGGCAACTGACTTTTTTCAGTTTTGAGAACAGTCGGCAACTGAATTCGATCATTGAGTTTATGCTTCCCAGGTCTTGGTATTATTTGGTCGGAACTAGTCCATATTTCTTTTGACCAACGTGAAAATGGGTCAAATTTGTTCATTTTTTTGCGCATGAAAGAAAAGTGTTTATAGAGTTTTGACTATAAAGCAGAATATTTGTTTAGTGGCGTCATCTATTGAAATATCAAAGGTACACAATAGAACCTTGATAATACATATACTATTAGATAGAGAGAATCTTCCTCTAGAAACCTACATATATCCTATTGTATAGATGAAACCTTACAGACACTTTTTCTTTATTAATTCAATTAGAAATGATGAATTTTATAGATCTTTACTAAATTTCAATATAATATTAATCGTATATTTTCTTTATAGGAATTATTATTGGATGTATTATTGGTATTCTTCTTCTTCTTCTCATTATTATAGCTATTATATTTACTGTAATTCGAATTACTAAGTAAGTTTGTTTTTTTTTTAATTTAATTTTATTCTTTGATTATATATTAAAAATTTTATAATAATTAAATTTAGACGTCGTCGTGTACGTTCACGTCGATATTTAAAAAGTGAAGATGATCATCGACAACGACTTAATGCACCAACATTACCATCACCTGATCGTCATCATCGTCATCATGGTAAAGATCTTCCAATTGAACAACCATATTTAACATCATCATCACCAACAATTCTTCCATCATCATCGTTATCAGTTAATGGTAATCATAATCGACCAAATTCAGCATCATCAACAACATCATCAATAATAATTCATCAAATAAATGATAATCTGTCTGATCGTGAATCTCTGATTAAACCTATTAATCAAATACAATCTCATTCGAATCCAACAAATACAGATATTGATAATTTTTATGAAGAAATCAAAGAACAACAACAACAAACAGCTTTAGCTTTAGGAAAAAATGATATTAAAGGTGATATAGTAAATCCTTATCTTGAAGCAAAAAAAATTGAACCAAAAAAACTTCTTTTTCAAGGAAATAAATCGTCACAACCGATACGTGATCATAATGAGGTATTTTATTATGAATGTGACGAATAAATAATGTGCACTTTGTATAATAAAAATCACAATGCTTCTTCTTCTTCTTCTTCTTCTTGTTTATCCTTTTGAGAATGATATTAATATATATATATATGTATACAAATATATATATATATATTCACAATCACGGTTACTATTTTGTTTTGTTCTTTCTTGCGTCTGTTTTTCTAGTCGTGCTATTCTATATTGTTTGTATATGTGTGCGTGTGTATTTATACGTTTTTTTGTTGTTGTGAAAAATAAAAAAAACCAATCCGATTGGTTTTATTATTCTATATTGCTTTAGCCCTCTTGCTTTTGCTTAAACATAGTGCATAGCTTATAATTGCCTATAGGTTTTTATCCAAATATTAATTATTATTTTTTATGGGTATACTTAGAGCGAATCACGTTATCAACGACCATCTTCATCGCATAATACGGAACCATCAAATATTGTTAATGAAGAAATAAAACATTCAAAAAAATCATCACCTATAATTCCTCCAAAAAGGATGGATATAAAGCATTCAGCAGCAAATGCAGCATCACTTCATCTCATAGATAATAATGATGGAAAAGACAATTAAATTTTTATATAATAATTTTAATAAAATGATATAGAACTATTCAAATGGGTGCCTTTCTAGATTAAATTTATTCCTTTGATCCTATACGCAATGCTATATTTTTCCTTCACGAACGAATATTTGCATGTTTAGATTTTATTTATATTTTTTATTTTTTATTTTTCATTAGTTTATTTTAAAAAATCCGTTGTACCTCTAGTCGCTCGTTCTTTTTTTTTTTTTTGTTGATTCTAATCTTTTGTTTTTCTAAAATGACACATTACAATTGTTTTTTCTTTTTAATGCGTTCGAAATAAATTTTATTCATCATATAATAATAAAAGTTTATATTTTATAAACAGTAAATCTTAATTTTGCTATGATTATATATATTTAAGAGATAAACATGTTGCCGCTCTTGTCTACCATGTATTTATCAGATAACATACATAAAGAATAATTATTATTAATAGCAAGTTGTCTTATATATATATATTTTTTTTCCCTTAAAAAGAAAAAAAAAACAATAATTTGTTTTTCTTTTCCTATGATCAGAATGTTTAGCAAGCAAGTAATTTGTTATCGATTATTCGATTATGATAGAAAATCTTTCTTTTTTTTTTGCTTATTCATATAATACATTCATAAAATTGGCAATTAGAAATATAGACATGAAAATGATAAATATATTCAGCGAATTGTTATTACAAACAAAACAAAAAACTCCTGAAAAAAAAAACTTCAAGGTTTTTAATTAAAATTAATGTTATTTATGATGGTTTGCTTCTATACAAAAAGTTCTCATGAATTTGTTTCTCTAATGTTTTCATCGATTATTGAACTACAAGTGCATCATAAAAATATATCATCGTTATCTATTTGCTCATTTGATCCATGGTAGACTCTTTGATATTAAATTCTTTTCAATAAGAGCATCATCTTGCTATACGATTATATATTATGAAAAACAAACAGTATTGTAGTTTTCCAGAGATACATCTAAAAGCTTTTATGAAGTTCACTGTGCCGTGTTATTTTGTCACAACAATTGTCCTGTGCAAAAACTAATCTTAAAATAGTTAAAAATTTTTAATTTCTTATCGACAGTAGATAATGACTTTGTTTATCATCTATATAATACTCTCTTCATTCTTTCATTATACTATTTTAGTTTTAATAAATAGTTATTATGCTAAACTAGTAGAAGGAGAAACAAAATATTTTGAGTATTTCAATCAAAATTATCGAATTAACTGACTGAATATCATTGTATTAGATTTTTTGTTTTGAAATACGATTTTTAGAAAACATTTTAGACATATCTGAAGTTCAATAATATATGATAAAACAAACTATGTTAATGAAGAGTTCGTTGTCATAATTAATGAGCTAAAATAATTCATACATCTTGAAAAAACGAAATTATCATACTTAAGATTTGACTTCTTTAAAATTTATTTTTAGAAGACACATAATAAACAGTATTTTTCATTATGAATTGAAAAATTTATTTAAAAAAACAAACAAGCGATTTATTCATTAGTCTATATATGTATATGTAATATCGTTCATATATTTCAATCACTCTGATATAATGGTTTCAATGAAAATCTTTTCCTTTAGAATATCGATCAATATGATATAACATCAACATCATATTGGTTTTTTCAATATTAATAAATAACTTATTTTCTCTTTTACTAATAACCACTTTTTTGTTTTCTATAATTACAAACTCAACAAATAACTACATATATATAGTCGATAGAATGATGCTTATTCGAAAAAAAAGAGCAAGAAAGAAAGAAAAAAAAACATATGTTACACGCAGCTGTGTACCTCGTTTTTTCTCTCTCCATCGTTTACCGCAGCATGCAGATATGTTTTGTCGAAGTCAATGTCGTCAAAGCGACGCACAAGCAAAAAAAAGAAAATTGTTTCATTTTTTTTCTTTTATACATTGTTATTTTTGTCATTGTCATGTAAAAGAGAAAAAAATAGAACTCGATCAGCAGGCTGAAGAAGACCAATTAGTTAGTTCGATGCAGTTTCTTAAGTTATTTTGCAAACAGCAATATATATATATATATATAGTTTATTTATGTACGTGTTGCCGTTTGAAGAAGAAAACATCAAGTCCATAGATGTTCTTACCCGAGGATCTATCTCTTAACATATGTTTTTCTATAATAACACAATTGATGATGAGAGAAAGCAAAAAAATAGAATGAAGAGCGAAGAGAAGAAAAAAGGCGAATATGATTAAATTATGAATCTTTCTCTTCAGGCAGATGCTATGTCAAGGCAAACTGGTTCTTTTTTTGATGCTGAAAGAGAGGAAAAAAACACACAGCAAAGAAAAAAAAAAGAGAGAGAGAGAGAGAGAGAGAGAGACGAAAACAACCAAATTACATATAGAAGCAAAAAAATATTTTCTATCTATCCGTCGACGGCCAAAGCAGCAACTCGGGGGTATGAAAAAGAGAGAAAAAAAAGAGACGAAGGGTTCTTGTTGTTGCTGAGTACTGTTGGTATAAAGGCATTGAAAGAAACAGACAAGCTTTCAGCATTATGACAGAACGCAATCAGCAGTCAGTAGTTTTCTTTCGCTCACTGCACAGTAACAACAATAGAGAACACGATTATATTTGCTGTCTCATATTCAACATTAACACAGTGCATTTGTCAAGCAACAAAAAAAGAAACTGTTGATGTTATCAATTGATAAATTGAAAAAAAAAGAAAAAGTTAATATTGTCAATAACAAAAAATAAAGGGTAAGTAAAAGAAAAACAAACGATATAATATACAGAATTTTATTCCAATATTATGTTATCAATGACTTCTTTTTTTTGTTTCTTCTCATTTTTTTACTTATTGACACAACAAAAAAATCGATGAACTTTTTAAATCAATAACAAAAGAAAAAAAAATATATTCGAAATATTTTACATAATTATCTATTGTGACATATTCTATAGAACAACTAATAAAACGTTTAGTTTCAAGTACATTTTCTTAAAAGTGTTATATCTATATATAGAAAAACAAAACAAAAAAAAATAATAATAAGTAGATACTCGACATACTGTAGCAATCAACTAGAATATTTCATTAATATCTTAGAAATTATCCTAGATGATATATTCTATTTAGTAATCGATCTATAAATTATGTTAGTAAAACTTGATATTTAAAAGTAAAGTTTGTAATAAATTATTGAAGAAAAATAATTAAATTCGAATAAATGAATTAAATTTAAAAAGAAGAAAAACATTTGACAACTTACTCTAACAGAATAAACTTTCTTTCGAGTACTTTTTGTTTTTTACTTAAGTTTTAATCTAGAAATCAAATATTATGATCATATAAAAATAAATATCCTTTTTATTTTGGATCAAAATATTTGATCTTTTGAAAATAATATATTTGCAAATCTATCGAGTCGATTGTACTTGATAGATTATTTTCATGTGTCCTATGGCCTTTGATATGATATTTTTTGCTCTATATTTTAATACATAATTCTGACGAAAATTTCTAATAAAATAATTAAATGCTCATGTAAACAAGTAAACAAATTGAAGGATAAAATTTTATTTATACAAAATTAATAATGTATATATTAGAAAAACTTAGGGTTATCCTATCCTATTCTGCAGGATAGTAAAAGGGTTGGAAAATTCTTTTTGGTCAGACGGCTGGATCGAATTAGAGCTTACTTTACACTAAAGTCTGTCGGGTTCATAATTTTCAAACCGCACTTTGATGGCTGTGCCGAAGATACGACCTAGTTTTCTTTAGTCTTTTTTTTAATTCAGTGATTAACACACTACATATTTTTCAGACGGCTAGAGCTGATTGGGACCAAAATTATCGGACACCAGCTCAGTTAACAGAAAATATTCAAACCCGAGTTCGGGACCAATTCGATAAATTCTTTTTTGAACATCAATAACGTGATATTACTTTACTATTTATTACTTTTAGAGTCTTGCAACTAGGATAGGATATTAAGAAAGAATGAGACAAAGACTCGTAAGGTAGAGTAAGAGTTGGAAAATTTTTCTCAAACATGGTACAGAGTATGAGAAAAACTTACCATCAATGACTCTAGTGCATATTCATTTGAAGTTCATAGCCCACTACATGATACCGATATAAATATTCACTTTCAAGTAATTGAAACTTATCTATTATTGAGAATTTTTCGATAGTGTTATAGTATTCATGTAAGATATTAGATATGCTAACTTCAGAATTTGATTATTAATCCTGTTCTTTTGTTAGGTCATTTCAATGGTTACATGTATAGCCTATCAACTAGAAAATTTTCAGTTCCTGAACCAATGCAACAGGTTCTAATTGAATGAGATAAAACGAAACAATTTGCAAGAATTAAAAAACAAAACAGATCTTTTTAACGATTGAATAGATGTCATCTTATTTAAAAAAAAAAGATTTCCCAAGAGTGATAGAAAGATATAAACAGGAATTGAATTCGTTTGAATATATATCTATCAGTAATATAAATCATTTATGAAAGAACTTTATGTCGTTGTTAATAGTATAGTGATAATAAGAAGACTCTTAACTAAACTAGATATAATCATTTTTAGAATAATTTGACAGATGAATATTTTTTTTGCTCTATGTCATATTGAAACAAAAAGAAACAGATTAAAGTTTAGATTTGATTTTTTAACTTGTGTTCTCTAGGTATATGAAAAAGAAAAACTTGTCATGAAATCATTATTGCATATGAAAGCCTCTTAGAAGTCAGTCAATATTGAAATTGATGCATAAAATTGTCAATCCTAACAATTATTTAAATGTTTTTGAAGTATTTTTTTTCGTTTTTTCTTGTCTTGATCAAAATTTTATGTATAATACGTCAATATATTCTTGCATTCTTGAAAAAAAAACAGAATAATCAACCAATTGCTATTGATCGAGCATCAGCTGGTTTTCTTCTATTGGTTGGCGATAGTCAATATAAGTATCCTTTCTCTTTGTTCTTG